TTGGAGAGCTCGAAGGGATGAATTCTGACCCGAGAAGGTCCATTCTGGAAGAGCGAGGGAGCGTCAGCTCTCCGTCCCTGCCCCCGCCCCCCCGCTCTGGTCCCTTCAGGAGCCCAGACGTCCAGGGCGAGCGACGAGAGGGCAGGTTACTCACGCGCTGCCCGTGGGAAGGACACGTTGTACTCCAGAGCCAGGTACTTCAGGTAGACTGCGCCCTGCCGTGGCTCCTGGGGAGGTGACCAGGAAGGCTCAGGGGGGCAGCGGGCAGCCACGTGCCCGGAGCCAGGAGCGCAGCCAGGGATTGGTGGGGGGGTGCGGGGGAAGTACCTGCTCGAACCCGAAGCTGAGCTGTCCGAAGGGGAAGGAGAGAAGCAGATGGGGGCGGGCGCCCTCACAGCCCCCCTGGGGCTTGGTTTTGTTGGGGTTCAGTACGGAGATGCCCCAGGCCTGTAGAAGTTAAGATGAGAGCTCGGTAAGAACGCAGCCGCGTCAGTCAGCCGAGGCTCCCTGTGCCCTCCACCCCGGCCCTGCCTCGCTCCCCTGCCCCTCCCGTCCTCCGCCGGCGCCTGGCTTTACCTCTCCTCCGCCGTGGGTCGGGTACACAACTCCGATCTGAATCCGGGCTTGGAGCCGGACGCAGGGCTGGGAACCATTAGTCCAAGTGTAGTCTCCTACGGCCTCCTGGGGCCCTGGGCTGGGACTCGGCGGGGGTGGCGGCGGCGCTGGGTGGGGGGAGCGGGTGGAGGCGTTTGGGCTGGTGGCGGTGCTGTTGCTCGTTGTTGGATGGACCGTGGTGTTTCCGTGGCGGGGGGTGGTCGGGGGCCGGTGCGTGGCCGTCGTGGGCTCGTGGCTGGTGGCGCCCGCTGTGGTAGTTACGCCGCTCGTGGTCGCAGGGCTTGCCGTGCTTTCTGTCGCTGTCGGGGTCGGGGTCACCGTGAAGGATGGCAGCAGAGTGGCCGACTTTTTATGAGGACAGTCGTTCCCTTTCCCCTGGGCTTTCAGCAGAGGAAGACCGGTTAGCGGCAGGTGGGCCGACTCCTCCCGGGGCCCCCTCCCCTCTGGCCTCTCTCCTTACCAGCCAGCAGCCCCACCAGGGCCCCCAAGACCACCACGGCCGGCCTCATGACGGAACGGCCTCACCTGGCCTCACCCGCTCGTTCCGGGCCCGTCCCGTCTGACCCAGCTGCTTGCTCAGCCCTGTCCCCCCTCTGCCTCCGTTTGCAAAAGGAGGAATTAAGTTTTTGACTTCCTGTCACTGAGACAGTCCGCCCCCAGCCTGACTCAGGCACCTCAGCCCCAGCCACCAACCCCTTAGTCACCAACTTTTGTCATTGAGGGGATTGCCCTGGCTTCCGAGTGGGAACGCACAGCCTCCAGAATGTCACATGTGAGTTTGGGGGCAGTCGATCCTTGGGGATCGGTGTGTCTACCTCCGCCAGGCACGTGTGGAGGTCCCAAGGGATTACAGAACCAGCGGGCCGACAGCCCTCCCCCAGCGCTCTCCAGAGACGGGGCGTTCGAGGCGTCGTAAAAGGGTTCTCTTCTCCCTTCTCCGTCTGGCGCTTCCTCTTGGCCGAGGCACGTGAGTTGCTCATGACGGTGCTTGCATGCGGCGCCAGAGCAGGTCGGGGCGCCCAGTGGATGGGACTTTGTCAGAAGGGAGGTGGGGGGAAAAAAAAGCCACCCAAGGGCAGTCTGTAAGGGTGATGACAGGGGGCGGGGGGCACGGCCGGAGATATGTGTGTGCCCAGTAACAGGTGGGAGGGAAGGGGGGGGCAAGAAATGAGAAGCCCAAACAGGCAGTTTGCAAGTCATTTTATTCAGAATTTTGTGTTTTGTTTCCTGAATCAATAAATACTATACAAAACAATGTAAAAATGGCTACCATTTTTTCTCCCCTGCTCCCCCCACCTGGGGACAATCCCCTGGGCCATTTAACTCAGATTCTCCGGATTTGGTCCAGCAAATGAGGTTGAGTGACACTATGGCCCCTTGAATCCTCTTCAGAGGCGTTCAGCTGGGGTGGGGAGAGCCTCTGGGGGTTAGAGGTCGACTAGGTTACGGAGATGGATTAGTGTTTTTGGGAGAAGCGACGGCGCCTGGGGCAGCTGTTGCCCCAAAGAAAAGGGGGTCTAAAATGTTCACGGTTCCTTCTTTTGCCTCAAAAAGTGACATTTATTCAAAGAAAAAAAAAAAGAGAAAAAAATGACAAGATGTCCATCCCTTGGCTCCCTTCCCTCCCCCCTCCTGCTCCTCTTCAGCCCCCAGACGGCAGCCTGGGTAGGGCTAGGTAGCAGGACAGCCCCTCAGATGAGGTCAGCAACATTGAGGGGCATCTCCTCAATGGAGGTGTTGTAGAAGGTCTCGATGTCTCGAAGAGTCCTCTTGTCTTCTTCTGTCACCATGTTAATAGCCACACCCTTACGGCCAAATCGTCCACCGCGACCGATTCTGGTGGAAAACGACGACACCTCAGTATGAGGGATGACAGCGGAAGGGGGAACCAGAACTTTAGCTCAGGGCGAGTTGCGGGAACGCTCCAGAGCCACACTTACCTGTGGATGTAGTTTTCCCTGTTGGTGGGAAGGTCATAGTTGATGACTAAGGAAACCTGCTGCACATCAATGCCTCTGGCCTAGGTCAGGGGAGAGGACAGGTCAGCACGAGAACCAGGAGGGGACACAATCGAGCCGGAAGGGACTCGAGGGCGTGTAGGCAGCCACAGGCAGGCACAGGAACAGACAATGCCCTCTCCCCCAGCAACCTAAGGCATGCCACGTTGTCTTCCAAGTTGCTACTTTCCTGAAGAGGGGCACAAGCAGGCCCCTTGGAGAGGGAATCACCTTGGATTTTTTCCCTTCTTCCTTCCCACTCTCCCAGCGTCCCCCCTACTCACCAGCAGGTCAGTGGTAATCAGTACTCTGCTAGAGCCGGAGCGGAACTCCCTCATGATAACATCTCGTTCCTTTTGGTCCATGTCTCCGTGCTAGAGCGGGAACAGAGGGGAGGGCATGGGTCGCGGGGTCGCGGGCGCCGAGGAGCAGCTGTGAGGCGCGCCAACGCCCCACCGCTGGGGACAAGGTGAAGAGCACGCACCATGGCGGACACAGTGAAGTCTCGGGCGTGCATCTTCTCAGTGAGCCAGTCCACCTTCCTTCGGGTGTTGATGAATATGACCGCCTGCGTGATGGTCAGGGTCTCGTACAGGTCACACAGCGTGTCCAGCTTCCACTCCTGGGAAGGGGAGGGGATACCAGTCAGGGGCTATACCCCCCCTCCCCGCCGGCCCGCCTCCTGCCCTGGGCCCCACCTCTCGCTCCACGTTGATGTAGAACTGGCGGATACCCTCCAGGGTCAGCTCCTCCTTCTTGACCAGGATCCGGATGGGGTCCCTCATGAACTTCTTAGTCACCTCGAGCACATCGGAAGGCATCGTGGCAGACAGCAAAACCACCTAACAGAAAAGAACAGCCTCAGAGTGGGGGGCCCTCCACGATACCTGCCCCTCCCCCATTCCCGAGGACCACCTGAAACAGAAGCCAGTGAATAAAACGGCTTGAGGGGAGACCCCAGGATTCCTGTTGGCTCCTCCGCTCCATTACCCCAAGCACCCCACAATCTACAAAGGAGCCCTCGACTCCACGACACGAGGCTATACACCTCTTTCTCACCTGGGTGTTGCTGTTGAGCTTCTGGAATATGTCATAGATCTGGTCCTTGAATCCTCGGCTTAACATTTCATCAGCTTCGTCCAATACAAACATCTTGATGTACTTGGGAGCTACGAGAAGAGAGAAAACACCAATAGGTGGTGATTAGGGAAGTGTGAGAGGAGACTCACGTTTCCCAATAAAGAACAGAAAACGGACAAGAGCCCTGCTCTCAGAAGACGAAGGTTGATCCTTTGCCTGCAACTGCCACGCTAGGCCAGCTGACAGCCCTGGGAAGCAGAACACTCCCCGGGGCTGAGAAGACAGGGAAGCCAGGCTCAGATGACACGCATGGGCTCATCACAGAGCAACGCCCTCCCAGGCGCACCCGGGCACCGTGGAGGAGACTGGATCAGGGGGCAGGGGGGCGCGTGCACGGGAGGAGAGACTCACACAGGTATCTCCGATTCAGCATGTCAAATACACGACCCGGGGTGCCCACGATGATATGGGGAGCCTCCATCTGAAGCTTCTGCACCTCGGCACGTACATTGGTCCCCCCGATGCAGGCATGACAGGAGGCACCCATGTAATCTCCTAATGCCATGACTACCTTCTGTATCTAGACCCAGAAAAAAGTGCCCGTATGTTAACCGCGACCGTGCCAGACCCCATTTAAAACGGTTCTGATGTAATGCTCTCCAACTCAGACATGCACCATTAAACTCACTTTTCAGGCAAGAAACAGGCAGATACTTCACTTAAGATCACACTGCCAGTAAGTGGCAGGCTCAGGATTTGAGCTTGGTCTGGCTCCTAAGAATACAAGGATTCACAATAACCGCCCTTTCTGAAAGCCACCAATGACCCATTTCATTTGATCTCATAGCAACCAGTTTTATTAACAGAATGCCATCTACCTGTGTCCTATTGCACTCCTGCCACAGACCTGTGCTAGGGGAGATGTTCACTCTAAAAAAAAAAAAAAGCATCTGCACACACATGAAGGCCCTCTGGAATTCTTCTAGAATTCTGCTTTGCTTGCAGTACATTACCTTTGTTTGCAGTTAGCACAGAATCATCCTGATTTTTCCACAGAACTTTTCTACTTAAACGAGATTAACATTTCTGACCCTTTCTAAGAACTCCCAAGACCCGGGAAAAAACAGTCTATCGTTAGGATTTTGTGTGCCCCAGGCATGAAACAGCTCTGGCCACCAATCCAGGCATCAAGCTAGGATGAACAAAGGACTGTCCGTCTGCTTTGCCCCTGGCTGATACAAGAGCACCACCACCAAGGGGTCTCTCTGCCCATTGCCAGGGGGTCGGTTCATCAACAGCTGCCAAACTTGCCCGGCCAGCCAGGCCAGTCAGGCTCCACCTCACGGGCTTTTCATTTGACTCAGGAAATGGGTGGAGAAAATAATGCTTATTGTGTTTAGGTAAGAAACGGCTTATAATTAGCCTTAACAAGCCTTCAAAGGTTTGGAAGTCCTCAGCTTATTTTCTCTACTTTTACACAGTGGTTCCTTTCTTCCCCCCATGCTTCAGTTCTGCTGAGCTGGTGGTCCTTGCGGAACACACCTCTGATTTTTTTGATTATGGTAATTATTTGTAACATTCCTTCAAGAGAGAAGTTAGGAAGCTGCATGCTCACCTGCTGAGCCAACTCTCTAGTAGGTGCCAGGACCAAGGCCTGCGTAGCCTTTAGGTCCAATTCAATCTGTTGCAGAATTGATATGGCAAAAGTGGCTGTTTTCCCAGTCCCAGATTGGGCTTGAGCGATCACATCATAACCTAAACAGATGAGCAGAAATTTGGTTATCAGCGTGCGTTATGTTTCAGAATCAGGAAACGTTCAAGGCTCTGATCAATCAATCAGCACCCAAGAGAACTATGTGGCAAACATCAAGTACTTCCCAGACTTTAACTTGTCACAATGGCATACCCCCACAGAACAATCAGGGCAGATCAGATTAACTCATTTACCACTACACAAAACTGGCCTAAAACACAGGTACGGACAAGCAATTATGAGCTGACTAAACTACCACCTTATTGAAATTAAACCAGCAATCCGTGTGTCCAGGGCATGAACCAGACGCAGGCACAGACCAAGAGCCAAGCTGGGATAAACAAGGAGTTGCTTTGTCCCTGACTGATATGAGACAAGCACCACCAACCAGGTGCCACTCTACCCAGGTCAGGGACAGTCCAGAACTTGTCCTGAGGCCGAGGGATCTTACCCTTGATACAAGGGAGAATGGCTCGCTGCTGGATGGCAGAAGGCTTCTCAAAACCGTAGGCGTAGATGCCACGGAGAAGGGACTCAGAGAGGTTCATGTCATCAAAGCTGTCAACGATCTCATTCCAGTTACTCTACAGGATACAGAGAAATTCCCAATGGTAGGAGACACAAAGCTGTGTCCTAGCGCTGAAGAGCCGGACCCTGTACCCGCACCAGAGCTTCAGAGCCCCCCAACCTCACCTCCCTCCAGGGAAGCCACATGGCCCTACAAGATCTGGGAAATCACCTTAAAGGGCGAGTCCACTTGTAAAACCAGAGACCCAGACAATGCAGAAACACAGGACTCAACTCCAGGACGTGGTATTTTAAACAAATCACCACAAAGCAGTTAGGATGGGGGGACAGACCTACTCGGGAGGTAGGCAACCCCAGTCCCGGAATTAGGGGACACCGCCTTTCCCAGAAAAGAGGGACAAACATTGCAGGGCTCCAAGCTCACCTCGATGACGCCTTCGGGCTCCATCCCATCGGGGCCATTGTCTCTGGATCTGTTGGATGAAAGTAGAAGCATGCCAACTGAGACGCGTCAGAAGCCCCCCCAAGCAGCTGGCGGCCCTGCACGATGCCATCGGCCCCACTCCCCGAGCCGACCCCGCCAGCTCCCCGAGGACACAGCCCTTCCTCCACCACCGAGCCAGGCCCGGCCCCCGGCAGGCTGCAAGGAGCGCCGCCGCGCTCCCGGGGCCCGGAGGGGGTCAGCGCCGCCGGGCCCGTGTGTCCCGGGCCGGGGCCGCTCCGAGCCCGAGCGCGTGCGCCTCCCCCACCCCCCCCCCGCGGCCCCGGCGCGCCGGAAGTCCCGCCCCTCACCTCCCAGCTGCGAGGGGAGGACATCCCCTTCCCCCCACGTCACTCCGCCCGCGCCCTCCCCCACCCCCTCCAGCCCGTCTCCCCCCCTCGCGGTGCCCGGATGTGGGAGGCCGCGGGCGGTGGCGGCCTCGCGCACAATGAGCCCCAGCCGAGCTAGCGAAGGGGGAGATTGCACAACACTCAGAAGCCAAGCGGGCTGGGGGAGGGGAGCCCCTCGGGCCGCCATGTGCTCGCTCCCTCGACCACCCGGCGGCTTCTCCCCCCGCCACGGAACAATCCACAACCCGCCCGCCCCCGTCGCGAAATGGCATCGCCCTCCCATACCTCAGGCCGCTCACCCCCGAAGGAAAGTGGACCTGCCCATCCGCAGTTTGCCAATTGCCCGGCTTGTGCGGCAAAATGGACCCGCCCGCCCGGCGCCGGGTGGGCTCCCGGTGCCTCACGCGGCCGCTCCTCGGGGTCAGGCTCGGTCCTGGCCGTCAAGAAAACCAGCACACTGAACGGCCGGCTTCCTCCGCCCCGCCCCGGCTCTCCGCGCGACCGAGCGCCCGGCTCGGAGGACCCGGGCGCCCCCCGCTCCGGCGAGTGGTCCCGTCGGAACCCCCCGGAACCCCGAACGCGCGCGAGCCCTCCCTCCGCCAGAGAGGCGCCCGGACCCGCCGGCCCGGACCACGCGCGCTGGCGGCCACCGCCGCCGTCGTCCCCCGCGCCAGGTCGCCACCCCGCCTGGCGCTCGGGCGCCGGGACCTCGCGCGCCGCGTCGTGGGCGGGGAGCGGCCTCCAGGCGGGCCTCGCACGCCAGGCCCCGAGGGCCGGGCCGTCCCCGCTCGCTGCCCAGGCCCGGGCCCTGCCCCCTCGCCCCCCAAGACCGGGCCTCCCGGGCCTCCCGGCATGGCTGTCCCGCACAACCCCGGGCGGGGCGGGGCGGGGGGAGGCCCCGGGCGGTGGGCCTCGGCTGCCCCTCCGCCCCCGCCCGCCCCACGGGGCCCTCGGAAGGGAGCGGCAGGGTGAGTAGCCTCGACCTTTTGCAAAAGGGTTTCTTACCGGGAATCCTGACTCGCAGACATGATCCTTAGAAACTAGGGCGGAGTGCCCGCCTATCGACAACTTATAGAGCGCCCGACCCCGCCCCAGCCATCGCATTGGCTTGGCCGCCTCGGCCCCGCCTGCCAGCGCTGAGCGACTCGGCGTGACGGTAGTTCGCAGGCGCTCCGGCACGCCGCCACCATTGGACAACCTGAACGCCTATCAAGATGAGGCCCCGCCCCGCAGCCCCATTGGCTGTGGGACCCGCCTTTCTCGCCGGTGCGGAAGTGACATACGGGAGTCAGGCCTCGAGGCCTGGCAGCCATCTTGGGGCCCAGCGCCCCTACACGTGCGGAGGCGAGAGCGCCCGGGTCATGTGGTCCGGCTGGCCCTATCGCGCGCGAGGGGCGAGGCTTCAGCCTCCAGGGACTTCCGGGCTCCCGAGACCGCCACTTCCCTTCGCCTCGGCTCCGGGTGCGCGCCGGGCCCACAGTTTAGTTTGTCGTCTCCTGCAGCAGAGGTAGACCGGACGCCGGCCCGAGCCGTTGCGAGTGTGCGGGGGGGGGCGGTGGAAGCAGCTCCGTCCTCCCTGAGCTCACCCGGCTTCCCTGCGGGAGGGCTTCGTCCGGGGGGGGGGGGCCAGGGTCTCAGCGCCTCCGACAGCGTGGCTGACAGTGACCGCTGAACCCGAGCCTGACAGAAGGAAGACCAGCACTATGTATCTCCAAAGGATCCTTTATTGACCAGAGCAGGACCGTGGCATTTATATATATATATAAAAAAAAGTTTGAAGACTGGCAGGCAGTAATCCCTTTGCCCGCCCACCACCCCCAGCACAGATTTTCCTGCCCCCGCCCCTGCACTCGGAAGGGGGAATGACCGCCCCACCCAGGCCACAAGGCCAAACTCCTCCCCTGCAGAGGGAAAAAGAGGCTGTTCCATGGCCACCCCCTGAACATCAGAAATCAACAAGTATTCTCTCAAAGAAAAAAAAAAAATACAGAAATCAAAACATTTAAATATGAAAAACCAAAGGGAACTGGATGGGGAGAGGCAAGAGAGGAAAGGAACTGGAGTTTCTTGGGAAGGAAGGGTCCCCCATGTCCCCATGCCCATTAATGAATGGGCTTGAGGCCTGGGATACGAGGCTCACACAGTGAGTTTGCAGTGACACAGCTCCTTGTAGATCTGCCGACGAAGTTTGGGCATGTCCTGCTGGGTGAAGCTGAATGGCTGAGACAGGGCCAGGTGCTTGCAGTACTGGGTGTTAACAAAGCAGGCCATGAGAACCACCTACTGAGCACCCCCCCAAGTCAGGACCTGTGCTACACACTTCACAGGAGCCAGATCCATCTCACTGGACCTTTCCAAGAGCTTCCCCCTTTCACAAAGGGAGCCAAGGTCCCATAGCCTGGGGCTCAAAGTCTGATTAAAGTCATTGTTCCTGGTACCTGCACTGAGGGGTTGGAAGGCAACTATATTAGAGCCGGGGCCCAAGGACCAAGAGGGCCAGTCCCAATGTGGGCTGGGGAAGCCAGAAGAGGACCAACGAACGACATCCGCGTTTCTGCATTCTAACACGCAAGGTTACTCCCTGCTCCACAAGTGCCTGTGAGCCAAATCAGGGAGGCCGAGCGGTCTCCCGCCTCCGTCCCAAAACGGTAACCCGACTGCTATCTGCTTACCTGTAACACAAAGGCACCGCAGTCACTGTCATTGTTCTGCCTGGCCACATTCTACAGAATAAAAAGAAGGGAGGCCCTTCACCTGGAGGCTCCTAGGGGTGTGGCTTCAACTCTGCCTCCTGCCACACCTCTCTCACTACCCAGTACCGACCCCCACCCCCACCCCCAGACACTTACCATTTTGAAATAACCTTTCCAGCCCTGGTGGAAATCCAGCCGGTCTTTCTTGACTGCCTCCGCCTGCAGGTACTTGGCAATATGCTACACAGACAGAAACAAGGAGGAAGAAGTGATGCCCTATGTTTCCCAACTGAACCCAGGGTATGGTGGTCCCAGCACCGAGCCCGCCCTTCTGCCCAGAATGCCTAGCCACTGCATTTCCTCCCCACATGCTTCCCGTCTGCCCCCCTCCCCTCTCAAACCTTAGGGCAGCGGCGGTTTAGGGTGCGCTGCGAGTCAAAATAGGTGATGGTGCGTCGCCTCACGTCCACAGAGATGAG